GATCCTGTGCGAAATAAAAAAACAGTGGCCCCATTGTACTTCATAGTTGCAAATTTAAATAAGTTTCATATCAATTTTGAAAATTGTTACAATGAAAATATGAATTTAAAAAACTAAGTAAAAGTTTACATAAAAAGAGACATGTTTGCAGATTTAGATGCAAAATAATCAATCAAGGTATTAATTTTTATTTCTTCGAAACTCTCGCATCCAATTGATATTAAGTCATAGTTGAACGCAAGCCATTCTTCAAAACTTTCAGCCTCTTGTTCTTGTTGGCTCTCATGAGATTCTTTTAAAATAAATTTATCAATTGCTTCTTTCTGAGATTGTGTTAGTATTTCAAGTCTTGTTTTCTTTTAAAATTTTCCATGGCCCGATACCAATTTCCTAGGAACCATAACTACAAGCAACTAAAAAAAAGGAGAAACAAGGAGTAAATAAATAAATACGGAGTAATAACGGAGTACATAAAATAGGAAAAAAATGTAGGGAGTAGGGTAGGGCTCCTTCAATTATTTTTTAAATTTTAATTTAATGTAATATTTTTTTAATTAAAACTAAAAAAACTATTTTTATTCATTTGTAATAAACACATTTCTATTCATTTTGAAAACATATATTAAAAAAACAATCTAAATAGCTAATATAGCATTCAATAGAAAATTAGAAGCCAATAAGCCAATAAAAGCATTCATCGGATGATTTTCACAGCCAAACAAAGTGAATTTGTGAACAAGCAATTCATTGATTACATAAAAAAATTGGAAAATTCGAAAAAGAAAACATTCAAACTATAAATCTATTACTCCCTATTCCAAACAAAGAAGAACAGATTAAAGAAATCAAACCTGGAAATTGTAGATTGGAGAGTAAAGAATGGCAACGCTGGTCTCTGTGTTCTGGTTTTTCTCCGAGCGACCGGCCCCTTTTCGCTTCTACAGTTCTGCGCCTTTTCTACGTTCTCCTATCTATGCCGATAGTTAGCAAGACTGCAAGAGGAAATAACATCTAATATTAATGGGATCGGACCAAATCTGTATTAGTTTATTTTTTAGAATTAGGGATGACAATTTTATCAGAATCAGACTTTTTCCGATTCGACCGAAGATATAATATCCGAATCTGATGGAAAAATTTAATATCCGAAACCGACCCGAAGATTTTAAAACCGAACCCGACTGTTGTCGGATCGGTTTCCGGTAATTAAATTTGACCGACCCGACCCGTACCTGACCGACCCGATAATCAACCCGAAATGTTTATACCTTTTTAAAAAATAAAAAATCCTTTTTCAATTAAAAGTCCAAAGCTACAATCTTACGGCGTAGCTATGGAACCCTATCTCTCGGACTCTCGGTATCGACGGAAATCTCTCGACTCTCACTCTCGTATCCACAGCCCTCCTACCGGCGACCACTGCGGCACAATCTTCGTCGGCGACCACAGCGCACAGCGGCGATTCTTCATCGGCGACCGCACAGAGCATAACCTATCTCCTCCTCCAACGGTATCATCATGGATTCGAGTTTCAGTAGCCAATTACACACCTTTTTTTATTTATATGGCCTTCTTCCCGATCTGCAGCTTTCTCTTTTTCTGGGTCGGTCGGGTCGGTCGGTCGGGTTGGTCGGTTTTCAGGTCAGGCTAGGCTTAGGTTTTTGTCAAATTGTCAGGTTTGATTGCGGTTTCAGGTTTCGATTTGGGCATTCGGGTTCGGTTTCGGGTAGGAATTTATATCCGATGATTCGGGTTCAGGCCAAAAAAAAATATCTACTACGGATTTCGGGTTGGTTTTGGGTAAGGGTATATCCGAACCGAACCCGACCCGTTGCCATCCCTAAATACGATCTTGACGGATAATGAAAATCAAAATCGTATCCGCATCCGTCGGATATCGAATATATTCATATCTGTATCCAATTTTGAAAACCAAGTTAAACAATACTTTAATCTTCAATTAAACTAAATCAAAATATTATTAAATGAACTACAATTTTTTATGAGATAATTATTTTCTTATTTGTTTTATAGTTTATACGATTACTTTATCATAAAAAGATATACACAATACATATATGCACATATTTTACATGTCTACACATATATTTGCATATAAAAATGTCTTATACTTTAAGATATAAATAGAGAAGCAAAATGTAAAAATAAAAAATTAGGAAAAATTATATATAACGGATCGAGTACACGGATAAATGGTTATTTAAACGGATGTCAATGCGGAGCGGATTATAAACTGATCGGATGTATAATTACCAAATCTATATCTGTTTAGAAAACAGATATCCTTAATCAGATACGGATAATAATCGTTTTTAACGGATGCGAATATTTTCCATATAAACGGATACGGATGCGGACGGTAATTGAATTTTCGATTATACATTTACAACCATAAGTAGGAGTTTATTTTAGTGGATCTATAATTTAGTAAAATAATATTACTAAATTCACACTTAAAATGATTATATTCACACATTTCAAGTGATTTGGATAAATCCTACCTATAACCAATTTACAGTTTTGCCTTGAACTTTAAAAATTATACTAATAATTTATAAATTTTAAAAAATGTTACATCAATAGTCCCTCTACACTATATTTGAAAATGTGTTCATACCAATGTTCGTCATGTTTTTTCGTTTGTCAATTCTTATGCTTTAGGAATAAGGCAAATTATTCTATAGACCTTAAGTCTACACTCATTTTATAGACATTAACACATAATCAATATAAAATATAGTTGCAAGCTCTTGAAAAATGTTTGAATTAAAATAAAGAAAACTTGGGATGTAGTGCAAAAGAGGTAATATATAGTAGCACCGAACAATCGAGCCAGTTACGGATGAACTATTTCTTTTCCTTGTCCGTCTTATGCATCTGAATTAAAAGAACATGTTTGGGAGCTGGAAATTTAATTTTCTCTTAGGGTTCGAAGTATTTATCTATGATATTATCGATACATGAACAATAGCTTGCTCTAGTGTAGTACATAAGATTATCTCTAAGGTTATTTGTAGCAGATTGAACATTGAAGGGTATCTTGACTAAAGTAGCGAACTGGAACCAAGGGGCATTCATGAGAGGAAAGGGAATTACTTCATAATGTACTGTTATGCCAAGAAATGGCAAGAGGCTATGGGAGAAAAGGCAGTTCACCTAGATGACTCTTTAAACCTCTACTAAATTCGTTTGGATTGAGTGGGTCTGAAATAGAATTGTTATGCCAAAATGTTAATTGAATGTGTGGTTAACTATGAGAGACATATATAATTCAGATTAGCAATGCTAGAGTCACAAACACTTTGATCAAAAAATACACAAACTTACCATTTGCGTATTTAAATGTTTACTTTTTAATTATTTAGCATCATTTGTTATATATTTTAGTGTAATTGGAAAAACTATAACCAATGGTATCCTAACAATCATCAAAGAAGTTTGGTAGTGCGGAGTGCACGCTTCATTGAGTTTGTTACGATAAAAATCCCGTTACATCGGGGGTTCCAAGGGGGCAGCGCCCCCGAGCAGGGTTCAAGGGGCGGCAGCTCCTGTGGGGTACAAGGGGCTGAGCCCCTGCTGGGGTCGAGATGCCAGGTCAGCTCGAAATTTTTTTTTTGGCAAGGTGCTATGTTAAAAAAATTCAATTGGAATTTTATTTTTCGAATTTTCTTTAAAAGAAAATTCCTAAGGATAGCGCTGTTTTCAAAAAGGGATTTTCGCCGAAGAGTTGCTTGCTTTGGGTAATGGCCGCGAATGGTGTCTTCTCCTTCTTACCGCAAGTTTATAAATTCCCGCGAGGCATGGTCAGATTTTCGTTCGAAAAATTCATACTAATTCATACTCGTTCTTGATACCTTCGAGTTTTATCCGATTGAATTTTGGAGTGAACAACCAAAATATTCAATCTTGTTTACACAACCTCCGATTCATCCAAGTTTTCATTAATTCATCCAACATCATTTTATTCACGTGATGAGGTACACAAATATTAGGGTTGCGTATTTTGTGATCGAAGTGTCTGTGATTCTAGCATTTCTCAATTCAGATTAGAGTGAGGCTGGTGAAGTACATGAATGTGGATACAAAATATTGCCTCTCAAGAGGGTGAGAAGGATACATATTGTTCAAGCAGGTTGGGGCTACGCGAATTGGCACTGCTACACCATGTAAATTCGCCGAATATCAACATCATGTACATTTGAAAGATTTAATTTAATGTTTTAAGACAAAGATTGAAATAATATTTTGTGTCTCCGAGCTTCCAACATTATAGAAAGCATAGGATTTTTGGTTTATGCTAGCGCGGGCATCTCATTCTTTACCGAGCTTGGGAGAGTAAGTTGATCCACTTCCAAGTTATATTTCAAAATTGATTTAAATTTAATCATGAGTAATCTCAAAAAATAATCTCGTCTGAACAATTTTTATGATACATTATCGCAAGCATTTTTCTTATACTTTACAGAAATAAATTACGAGGTTTTTGCAAAAATTGTTCATTTTTGTGGTTCCTATCATTGTTAGTTTTTGTCAATTCAAATGTTTACAATTAATTGTCCATTTAATAATCTCACTAAATAAATTGTAAAAATTACCATAGCATATTATATTTTCTTCAATGAAGTAGATATAAGTTATTTTAGGTGTACAAACTTGGAAATATATTTATAACAAATGTTAAATATATCAATTATTTAATATATTTAATATTATATATTATAATTATGGTTGTAACCTACTATAGTTAGAATTATTATTATATAATATTACCTTATATTATTATTCATTAATGTGGAGGGTTTTATAATACATTTCTCCACCTATAAATAGATGTCTTGTATTCCTCCCTTATTCATTCAAGAAATAAAGCATTATTTGTTATTTTTACATGGTATCGGAGCCTTCGTTCGATTTACATTGACAAAAAATGTCAGTACAATTTTTTTTAATTAAAGTAACATTTTCCAGTGTGAACCATTAAAATATCAGTGTATTTCTTGGAGTACAAATTGGGGTACATTTTTTGGTGCACCCCTAGCCTGGTTGTTGATACTAACTCAAATATGTGTAGAAAGGTAACATTAACCAAACAGAGCTTCCCCTCACATGCATGGCAACAATTCTCTCAAAATAAATGTCACTTACATGACTTTCTAGATGGTTTTTCTAGAGCACAGAAAAACAAAACACCAAATATCTACCCTCGCTTTCTCTTCCTCTTTACTGTTGGGAATGTGAGGGGAACAGAGAGGGTGGCCAGATGACCTCTTTTCTCGTCACGAACAAAATTGCAACCCAGCAACTCAAGACGAGGCCTTAAATGTCCAGTTATTGTTCTAAGGTCTTTGGCTATGTCGGATGGATTGGAGCGGAAGTTGTCAGCATATAGTGTAAGCACGAGCACATAACTGATGAGGAGATCAACTTTTTCATTGGGAAGTCGTTTGGATTCTGGCACACAAAACATTGAAGAGAACTTCTGGAACAACATCTTAGGAAATCTGTGATTCTTGGCAGATTGAAAACCATCCATGGAGTGTTTGTCCTTGAACTTGATAAGATGAGTGATATATGAAAAGATTCCAGCCAGCTTTCGCCGCTCCTCTTCACTCTGTCACATAATTGAAAGCAGAAGCGGGTGAAATTGCAGTTTTACGTGTGAAAACCAACGCCTTTTTGCAAAAAAAGGCCGTATTGGTTAATCAATAACAATCCGTCTTAGTAACACGTGAGAATAGTTCAATACTTATGGGTCATAATAAAGGTTGGAGTGGCTAATTTAATATGGGATGCCTTGAGCACCATGCTTCCCAAAACCCATGATAAGGAAATATTATGACTGTTCAAGAGAACACAACCATATCACGGGATTGATATTAAATTTAACTCGAAATGTTAATTTACCTTCCAATTTTGTGAAAACTGGTGTTCTAAAGCAAATGGTCTTTTACTTCTAAATTTTTACACAGGGGTATTCAGTAAAAAATTTTGAAAAAAATCTTTTCAAATGTTGGAGGGTCGTTTATTGTTATCCTTCACTTTATCTAATATTTCACGACATCTTTATTACTACTATATGATCAAATTTAATCAGGGTCCGAAACACATGCATATTTATCAGATAACATACTTGAAAAAAAATAAGTCAACAAGATAAATGCTAAGGAGTATTTAAGATAAGATGGGAACCGGCCAGCCACATTTTTCATTACCTTAATGTCAGCCAAAGTATGCATTCTGTTGCAAACAAAGCTTGGATAAGCATCAGGACTAATGCGCTCTCCAGCTTCCGAAAGGTCAAAGATATCTGTAAGGTAATCCCATTCTCCCTTGAATATGATCTTGTGCAGGGGATATGCTGTCTCGGGTGTAGTGGCAGCCAAATCGTACGGTGGGATATTCCGGTCATAATCATCCGTGAAAGGAACTTCTTCAAGTGCATCTTGATTTATGAGTTTTCTCTCTTCTATTACAAGATCTCCTCCACCAGCATTCACACCTTGACGTAGTGTTTCAAGCTTCTTGTCCTGCAAATCAATAATTACCATTGTAAATCATTGCATCATGAAATTGTAATCCAAATCAATTATCTGATAAAATTTCTCCTTTTGAAATCTCTCATTCAGATGCATAAATACCAGATTTAGTCTTCTTGGGAAGAATCATCTCTCTAGCTTTCTTTTGGGCTCTCTTTTCCTCTGCAGTCATTTCTCGCTTGGCCGTATTATCTTCTTCTTCTTCTTCTCCATCTATCTTAGGATCCAGTCTTATAATCTACAATTACATGATTAATTAACAAAGATAAAGAAGACACATCATAGTTTAAACCCTACCCTCGCGAAAAAGATAACAATTTTACCATGTTGCCAGCAATAGGAACGATCTTAAGCGTCCGAGTCTCCTTGTCCAGCACCCCAATAGAGTAGCTACAGCTCTGCGCCGCCGTGGCATCGCCGGAAAAATTTGTACCGACGAAATTCACCTGAGACCCGCTCACGACGAGCTGAAACCTATTGGTCCTTTTTGTGTTTTTGAACAAACTAACCCTGCTTACCGGTCCACTGGTGTTCTCCGTCTCGTCGTCCTCCATACTTTCCTTCAACGGATCGAAACCAGATGGAAAGTACCCTACAATCGGAGGAATTTTTTGTGCGCTTTGACTCAGAACTTGAATCTTCACTGTCATTTTCTCGTTTTTCTTAGGGTTTTCGGATTTTGTGATGTTCGCCTTGAGACTCCCTGCTTCTCCATAGCCATGGCCCGATATGGTGTTTCCCGTATCCAGCTTCTTCACCTTCTTCCCCATGGTTCTGTGTGAATTGAAGTGAAGGCGGGAACTTCAGATCCCCTTTCTTGTAGCCCTTAAAGCCTAACTCCGAATTTTGAACTTTGAAGCCCTCGTTCAAACGGGCCCGTACTCGTGGATTCCCGAGTAATAGATCTTTACATACCAAATATTATCAATTTAGTCTCTAATTATTATATTTATTTCCACGAATGGTCCTTTGTTAACGCTTCCGTTAAGAACGTGAATAAAATTATAGATTCACACTCTTTTCTCTCCTCAATTAAGCTTCTTCCCTCTCCTCGCACTCCTTTCCCAAACCCGTCGCTGAGTTTGAAGCTTTGAACATGAAATTATCACTTTTCTCTCAATTGTTTGTCGAACTGGTGGAACCCAAATTTGAAACCAGTAACCTTCATGGATGAGTTTTAATGTTTATTTTCTTTGCAACTTCTTGAGACTAACTGTTAAAATTCATCCATAAAGCTTATTGAAAGAGGAGTGATCATTTTCAGTTTGGGTTTAGAGCTTCAAATTCAGCGACGAGTTTGAGAAAGAGTACGAGAGGAGGGAGGAAGCTTAATTCAGGAGAAAGAGAAGTATAAATATACAATTTTATCTATGTTCTTAACAAAAACGTTAACAAAGGACCATTCGTGGAAATAAATATAATAATTGGGAACTAAATTGGTAATATTGGATATGTAGGGACTAAATATGTAAAACGACATATAACTGGGGACCTTTTATGGAATTTAGTCTAAAATATTTTTTCCTTTCCATTTTTCAAATGTTTGAATGCTTTTGTTTTCAATTCAATTTATTCGATTGTAGGTGTTTAATTAAAAAATAAAATTTATATAATTTAAAAACTAAATTAAAAAGTTCTACGAAATAAGAGGTGACAAGACTATATTAACTTATCAAATAAGTAACGAAAATAAGTAAATAGAGTGATTAAAGAGAGACCGTGTAAATAGTAAATAATAAGAAAAAGGTTTTAGGACGGAGGGAGTAATATTTTAGGGTTATGGTTGATGGTAGAGCTGACAAATCGGTCAGTTACATCAGGTTCGGGTCCGGTCACTTCGGGTTCAGGTCAATTTGGGTTCGGGTTGAGAACTTATTCATGACCCAATGTTATCGAGTTTGAGTCGATCCAACCGGTTATGACTTTGGTTCTTTAAATTTTTAAATTCATATTAATAATTACATTTTGCATTGAATAAATTTAAAATATAAAAAACTATGCATTAAATATATTCATTATTTATTTTAAATTATGGAGTAATTTTTAGATATATAAATCAATATAAAAAATTAAAAAAAATAATTATGCAATGTCATTAAAATTTTATCCAAAACTATAAATTTATACACTAGAAACAAGAAGTAAAAAAAGTATAATTATTGTTGGACAATGTGCTATCATGAATATATATATATTTTCTATGTCCTTTTCCCATTGTATTTTAGGTTTTGATAATGACAAAAAAGTGACAAAAGATCACCATCATATTGTGCATCAAGGCTAAGAATCAAAGCTACAACAAGTTCATATCCGTCCATGAAGAAGGGACTTGAGTATTGATGGAAGGATCGAGACCGAAGACGTTGTTACCTTGGTTGGGTAGTCTTTTAGATCTTAGAATGTGTGTTAAAAATTATGGCGTATCTAAGGTTCATTCCTTGATAATTCTACCTACAAAACACCTTTTAGACCAGCCTTTGTGTGGAGAAGTTGCTCTTTTATTCGAATAACCTTTGGTTTATTCGAATAAGTCTGAAACTTCTGAGTTTGAGTAGAAATACTGATTTATTCTATTCACTCTTGATTTATTCAAATAAGTCACTGTAAAGTATTGGGTCAGTCGGGTCGAGTTCGGCGGAGTTTGACTCATTTTAGCGGGTCATGTAATACCCCGTATTAAGATGAGAATGGGAAGAGCTCAAAAGGATTGATAGTACTACTTATACCAATAAGGTGTATTTTCTTTTCGAGAGCTCATCATCTAGAAACTCCAAAGTTAAGCGTGCTTGATCCGGAACAATTATAGGATGGTTGACCCCCTGGAAAGACAAAGTGTTGGATTCTAGGGCCAGTCTACAATCCTATGAGCAGACACTAACGGCTAGGGTGGGGGCCGGGGTGTTACAGGTCATTTCGGGACTGATCACACTCTTACTGACATTTACAGACATGGAACAATATCGAATGAGTAACGCTTCAAAAGACAACCTAAAAGTTATATTGAATTACGATTCAATTAAACAAATTTGTTTTGATTAAAATAAATTATTGTTGGACCTTTGACCGAAATTGAATGTGTTGATATCCAATATCAAAATCTGGATTAATCTCATGAAGATAAAAATTCAATATGTTGATTGTTTGTGTGATCTCGATTGAGAACTAGAGTACAAACTTAAATCAAGATAAATAAAGAATTTGAGTAATCATGTGAACCTTTGAATAATTTATTAAAATAAATCATAAAAATAAATAATATGAATTAAATATGAGAATCTTTTGAATAAAATATTAATTAAATTAATTTTGACTGTGTGAAAGTCAAACATCCAAAAATATAAAGTCGGAAAAAATATTACAAATAAATATAAAATTATATCGCTGAATAGAGTTCGACTGTTTGATCGCAACAGTGCAATTGATTTTAATTCGGAGAAAGTTAGACCAAAAAGTGTACCTCAATTGTGACCAAATTAGTTTCAATCAGGGAAGATGTGTACAAACGGCGCCTCCTGTTCCACTATCTCAATTCCATGATCGCAGTCATCAGAGTTGATAGTAATCATCACTGAGATTTTCTCAAAACCTCCATTTTCGCGTGATAGAGGGTGATCAAGTCCTTCCTCACGCCCTGTAATACATGGCCTTGGAGCTATTCCAATGGTGAGTAATATTTATTTTTCTCACCAATATATCTTTCTTTACCCTTTCACTCCATCCACACCATCATTTTTAGTATGAATTTTTTTCCTTCACCTCTCTCACACAATGAACCCACAGTCAATTGAATTTCCCATGAAAATATAATAAAATTTTCAGTATCAATTAAAGCTATTATAACATTTTCTTTTGAAATTTTAGATATATATCACAATCTAAAAAACAAATTAAAGTTTTAAACAGTAAGATGACAATAGAATATCAAAAAAATTGGTAGTTGTAAAATTGATTGTTGTTAAACCCCCTATCCCCCCTCCCCTACCCCTCCAACCGCACCCCAATTGCACCCAAGTAATTTGGTTGACTTTCTGAGTGAATCTAGTGTTTAAATCTCAAAATTAAGACTATTGTACTATGATATTATGGCATTATATATTGACAATTTACAATGCTTTTGATATTTTATATTGTCATTATGGGTACCATTTTGAGATAAACACATGAAATTTCTATTTTGGTTTTTTATTTATATTTTATTCCTTTTTAAATATTTATTCCTTTAAATATTCATGTTTTTTTAAAATATACGCCGAATTAGAATTATTTGATTATATGTTACTCCGAAGTATAACACGGAACTATATTATATACTCCCATCCGTCCCGGAAAACATGTGAGTTTTGATTTTGAAGAGGGATTTAAGGAGAGTGTATTTTGGTATTGAATTTCCAAAAATGTCATTTAATTTGATGGGTAAAAGTATGATTTGATGGATAGATTATTAGTAAAAAAATATGATGTGATAGGTAGGGTATGAAAAAGTAAGGGATAAAAGTGACTTTTTAATAGAAATGAGAAGTGTTTTTGGGACAGATGAAAAAAGAAAGGAGAAAGGTTTTCAAAGACGGAGTATATTACTCCTATTAATTAATAGATCAAAGAAATATACTAGTTGATCGAAGAGGACATAGGCCTACTGTCTAAGAGCACTGGTAATACGTTTGAAGCCCCGGGGCTTCAAACTTTCTCCCTCTGCCACGTCAGCTTTAACTTACACCCAAAATTCACTGGAAATGGGTTTGAAGCCCCGGGGCTTCAAAACAGGGCTTCAAACCTTCATTTTTTACATTTTTAAATATACATCTTCTAAAATTAAATTAATAAAATGTATTTAATTTTTTATTTAATTAAATTGAAACACGAATAATAAAAAACACATTAATTAAATAAAAAAAAGCGACAATAATTTAAAAAAAAGATACATTAATAAAACAACTAAGGAAAATTATATTTCTCCTTGATCTCTCTCATTCTTTGCTCGTAGATAATTCGTCCAAACTCCGACAACGTCGCGGGGTCGGTTTGCATGACTTTCATCTCGGCCTCTTGCTCCTTTAGCTTCAACTCCTTCTCTTTAAGCTTCATCCTCTCTTGTTCTTGGAGATTGAACGCGCGAAGTTGTTCAACCATTGCCCGGCCGATTTCGTCGCGGGGAGAAGCAGAAATAGAGGCGGACCCTCCCGAACCAGAGGCAATTGATTTTGCCTTCTTTCTTTCGATCGGCCGTGGAATGGGGTCCTCGTCATCGGAAACCGCAACATTGAAGGAAGGGATTTGATCGGTAGAACCGATGGTCTCGTCGACCTCAACCTCGGCGTCGACGGTGGATCTTTTCCGGAATGATACGCCGTCGGGATTGTTGAGTTGTTGCCACTTCGGGGAACGACTCAAAATCCCCCAAAGATCGATGGGCACCTTGCCTTGGTTCCCGTCGTCTTGATACCGGGTCGTGGCAAGCCGGAGAACATCGGCGTCGTTCATGCCGCTCCTCCGGGACCGGGAGCATTCCTCGTATACTCCCATAAATTTTCGTACTTTTTTGTTGATGTGGCTCCATTTGGAAGTGAGTTGGTCACGGGTTCGGTA